ATTCCAGTTTTTTTATCCTAACCCGTGTAACTTTAGTACACAAAAGTGTTACAAAAATTGATATTTTGGTATATATTCGTTTATTTGTCATCGTTATTTATATAATGAAAATTATCGTAATTTTAATTACTTCCATTTTCTTCCTTACCGAATGTTGGCACACTTTGTAAAAAGCTATGAGCTTTAGAATTTGATTACTTATCATAACCAATTTTGCCGTTTTTCTCTAAATATTTTTTAAAATACAAGAAAAAGTATTTGATATCAGGTAATTATTGAAGAGGTTAATTAGAATGTACGAGGGAAGCAAAAAGTAAGAAATCACATTTATTTAAATAAACAATGCTGTAAGTTTGAGTGAAATTCACCATATTAAGTGAGAAGGAACATCACTTATTACCAGAAGAAAGCAGATACAAAATATATTAGCTAAATTTTGTACAACTATTGAGAATATAATTCTTATACACAACTTTTACATTTTTTACATATATATTTTAGAATCTTTATTTAACTTAAAATTTCCAAAGAAAAACGAAAGTATCGAAATAAATACTTGCTTTAGTTTCAATGAGTGGGTACTTGAAACAATTTTATAGTTCTGGTAATTAAATAATCAGATTTAGGAAATACGACGATTTTGTTGAGGAACCCTAATACTTGCATTACCCGAGTTGTATCTTGTTTGGAATTTATAGTTCTTTAGTGAAAATAGGGCTTATTTAGAATAAGCAAAAAGAAAGAGTGAAATATTTTTGATGTAACGATGATTAAAGGAATATATCTTGACAATCACGTAATGATCTATGAAAGTAAATATTTAATACATCAAACTAATTGCTAACTAAAATTTTAATGATTTAAAAAAAATTAAAATCCAAATATAACAAATACGTTTACCATCAAACATTCCATGTACAAAGAGGACAAAACAATACAAACTGGTTCTGTTCTAGAAAATAAAATAATCCACATTCTTAATGAGTATTCGTGCATTTTTAGTAAAACATTAATGATATGATTATCAAACATCAAACTGCTGGGTCACATCAAAGAATTTTTCAGCAAAAAACACACCAATGTACGGTAATTTCTCTGCTTATTTCAAGAGAGATATAAATTACGTTCTCATGATGAGGGATCATAAGCGGTCCTGAATAGTCAATCCGACCGCCTACCTAGAAAGGAAATTGATCTATTCGGATCCGCAAATGAGAACAGATCAAAGTGTGGGTGGAGGGGAATGACTGGAGGTTTAGTTCTGGGGGCAATGGGCGCTCGTTCACTAGTCAAGCAAATATTTATGAGAGCAAGTTTGCAAATAAATAATGGAATTAATTCGGAGTAGGGGCGTATTGCAAAAGAAGATTACACTGAACGGCGGGTTATAGCACCGACCGCGACTTCCGCACTTCACATCCAAAGTAGATGAACTACTAGCCTGAGGCCAAACAATGCAGAGTCAACGGTCTATACAAAATGTCAGTCTTCGGCGACAGATCTACTAAGATAACCGAGAACCTTGGAAGAGCACTAAACACTGAATCACGTTGAATGTCTTCTGGGCACTGAGAAGGAATTTAAGTCACAATGCAGAGCAGTAGCACCGTGCGATCCAAGATGGTATCGTTAAACATGGTCGAGACGCTCAGTAACACTTCCAACCAAGCAGATTGCGAAGTTCCACTATACACTGAGCTGCACTGAGCCACACGTTGATGCACTGATCTATTGTGTTGTGTGGTTTGGAGCCATCTGGCATCAGTTCGTTTCCTGGCGCTCCCAGCGCTTCACAGCGGTATTGAGATTTTACAAGGAAACAATCAGGAAAGAAGAGGCTAATTGAGATGCACACTGCCTTAGTGAGGCACTAAAGATGTAACAGTAATTTTGAATTACTTTACGATCGCTGAATCTACACAAGTAAGGAGTTTATTAACGAGTCATAACGAACGGTACAAGGAAGCGGTGGGCCACTTAAAGCGGCGCTCGTTGCCTTCTCAACGTCAACAGTTGAGGCGTTGAGCAGCTCCGTGTGGCCGAGCAACACTCGGTGGAGGTGCTGAGTCGTACTGATTCTCGCGTCGAGCAGTGCTCCCACGCGAGAGCGAGCGACCCACGCTGAAGGCCGCGGCGCAGCGAGGATTGGCTGGATGGCGGCCGAGGGTTGGGTGGATGGCGCCGAGCAAGTGCTCGTGAGGCGGAGAGACGATGAGACGCACTGTCTCCGCGCCGAGCGGTGCCTGGCGCGCGGAGCACGCTGAGGCCCGGCGAGCGAGATTGGCTGGATGGGGCCGAGGTTGGGTGGATGGGCGCCGAGGCGTGCCTCGTGTGGGCCGAGAGGACGAATGGAGACGCAATGGTCTTCCGCGCCGAGCGGTGCGGCTGGCGCGCGGAACGCACGCTGAAGCCCGCGGCGCGCGTGGCTGGATCGGCGCTGAGCCGAGGCGCGCTGAGCCGAGGCCGCCGAGCAAGCGCCGCCGCTCGCCCCCGCGCTCGCGCAAGCCATCGCTTGCCGGGCGGCGCCGCGCCGCCCCGCCCCTTCCCCCGCCGCCCCGTCCTTCGCCGTCGCTCGCGCCGGACACCGGCCCCTCGCGGCGGGAGACGCACTCCGGAAGGCAGATGAGCAGAGAGTTATCGTGCGTGCAATGGGCATTCGATGGAAGAACTCGACCATTGATCGCGAGACGGATTGGAAGAATACGGATAAAATTTCAGGTTAATAATAATTATAATTCAAATAATATCAGAGTTGAAGTAATTTTTGTCAAGTAGCAACAAAAATATCCGTAACAGGTTAGCGTTCCATTAATGCGATTAATATTTTAATTTTTCAGCTCGATAGAGATACCTCAAATGTATTCGCAATATTGATAATTGTAGGTTTCGTAAGTGATTCTCTGCACTATTGTCGCTTTATTGAAATGTTCAAGTACAATTTTGAACAGAAATTAACGGAGATCGTTTCCCTTTTAAATTATATTGTGTTGACGATTTATTTGCTATGAAAACATCTATAATTCCTTCGTGGATGAGAAAAGAGTTGTAAAAAAAGCATTGAAATTGAAGCTGTAACGTGTGTATATACTGGGGGGGGGGTCATTGATGCATTTCTGTGGGTATATGCCCTCTGAGGCTTTGAAACAGCGTTAATGAAATAAAAACACAAATTCGAATGTGACAATATCCACATACAATATTCATTCGTATTAATTTTTTCTTTAATAAATATGATGAGAGTATCTCCAACAGTGTACTTGTCCACTTAATTATTTCACAAATGACTGCTAAGTTAACGAGTACAAAATAATTAAATAAAATAAGTAAAATTAACAAATTTAAAATACAACAAATTGTCATTAACGTTGCCCTGCATTTGTGTGCAAATTATACTTCGGAGATTGCCATACGCTGAGGTGTTTATGTTGCTTTCAACAAGTGTGGACAATATAGTAAGCAATAGGCAATGTAGTTGCAGTACGCAATGAATTTTAATTCTTCTCACTACTGGTCACCGCTCCATCGAACTGACTGTGTACTCTTCGGCCTCTCCGAAGATTATTGCTCTTTTTAATGAATGGCTATTAAAAGAATGTTCGCGATGAGCTCTTCCAGAACAGAATGCCCTGAGTTTTGCAGCCATTTCCAAGTAAATGTTCTGTAACTTCACAGGTTGCTTTTGACGATTTCTGATATGCATTGCATAGCAAATTGACATGACAGGTTCAACATTTCAAACAGGTCAAACCGATCGTCAGAATTTGATTTGTTTTACCTGTCACTGTCCTTCAAGGCAAGAAGCAACCTCCGACGTCACAAGACATCTCAATCAGGCCAGACGACAGACAAAATTACCGTCGGCCTTTTGGAAATTACCGCGTGCACTTAAGCGAAGCGAATTTTCAAACATCGATGTATCGCAACGTGAACAGATAAATTAAAAAAGCCCGAATAAATTAAGTTACAACCTTGGTTTCCGGTCTACAAATCCATAAGTTAGCCAGACTCGGCAGAGTCACCGAAGTCTTCATTTTAAAAAACCGTATCAGGAGAATGATTGCGCCACAAAGTTAATGTCCAGAAATTTCATTAAAATATATAATGAATTTCATTATAATATATAACATTAATTTAATTGATAGATATTATGTTTTAATTAAAATAGATAATATTTATTTGATCATAACAGAATGAGTTTCATCGAATACTCCCAAATTTAATACTAATAATTATTTCGATGTATCGCAACGTATTGAACCAGATTGTCGAAATGAATATACTGGAAGGCATAATGGAAAGATGTAGGTGAGCTACTCCGGCGCACCGATTTTTGCTCGTTCTGCGCAACACTAGTTTACGTCACGAACCACGTGACCACAACACGGGCACTTCGTTTGAGAAGGCAGTCCAGACGCTGGCCGCCATGTTGCAAGAAGAGCGAGAAATATTGAGAAATATTTTGGAAGTGGCATAAAGTGACAATTTTTAACCAAAAATAATTCAATAGTGAAGTAGAAATAAAAGATGTAATATTAAAAAAAATCGTATATCTGTTTCAATGACTTGTAACAAGGAGATAATTTTGGTTGCTGGCTGCGTTTAAAATTCCCGCTAATATTGTGACGCAAACTGGTGCCTGATTCTGATTTGGCTGAAGGTCGGATACGAGGCGCATTAGCTTCCCGCCCCGATGCCCGATCACGTCTCTCCATCAACGCCCGGAGAAGGCACCGATGTCGAAAAAACGGATGAAACGAACCATCCTCGTGTCACGACATAACAACATCTCCTTTCTCCTCTCCCGGGCGATCGCGCGCCCTCTTCCCACGGTCTCGACGCCCTCTCAGACGATAAGGCCGAGCAGGTCCCGCCCTTTGCGCACGACGGCGGCCCACCTTGGGTTATGCTCATGTAAGTACCGGGTTGTGTAGCCCACGCCCGCCACGGGCGGCGGCGGCGGCGGGCGGCGAGGCGGCGGCCAGCGCGAGCAGCGTGGGCGGCGGCGGGGCCCGCGGCCGCGGCGGCGTCGCGTCGGGCCCGTCATGATGTTGCACAGCGAACGTCTCGCAGCAGGCGGTTGCACGCGTGCAGCTTGGTGCGCTCGCCATCACGGAATGCAGCCGGCGTCCGGGCAGCGCTTGCGTCGGCAGTTGCGGCACCAGCGACCATCATATGCGCGTCACCAGCGTCCCGTTTTGTCCAGCAAGCGGTCCGGTGTAGCGTGATAGCGGTTTCCCCTAAGGGGCGCACGAACAAAATAATCGCTAACGCGGATACAACACAACGAACTTTTCTCATCGTTTGAAACTTTTAAAAATTTAGAAAGTGAAACGAAAATGACACTTGAGGCCAGTATCTATCTGTCTGTTAGAGAAAAAAATCGAGTAGTTTTTGGGAAAAGTTTTTTTTAAATAGTACGCGACTCGTTATTTCAAAAAAAATTGATGTTTTTTAAAGATACGATTTTTTAGAAAAGGTTTTTAAAGTAAAAAATGTCTGTATTCAATATTGTTGTTTGGCAATGTTAACCTTTTTGCAATTAGGAATATATAGTTTACCGGAAACGGGACAAGTTTGTGCGACAAAATGGAGTGTTTAACATGGACATATCAAGAGCGTCACATTTCGGCAGAGAGAGATCTGTGTATAAGATGTTACCTTTTGTGTTCAAGAAAATAACAACTGTTCTTTATTCAATTGCGAAGATGATTATAATTAAATAAAGCTTATCTAGACTTGCACTTTGTGAAATAGTCTTAAGAACTAGGGGTGTTTGGGCGGAACTTAATATAATAATTTAAAAGGCCTGAAAATTCACAAGTATTCTGGAAACAAAAAGGAATAAAAAATAGAGAAGAAAATGGTTAATGTATCGTTTTTAACACATTCTTTACCTCCCATAAATGTATAGATGAGTAATTTGAGGAGTAACATTCATACGAGCGTTTTCTGCATAATGATATAATTAAAATTACCGTATATCATTTTGCAGAGTACGCAACGAAGCTTTGCAGTCGTTTCTCGAAAAAATAACTTGTTCCAAAACATCCAGACGCCTCTACTTACGGCGAGTGAAGTCCGTAATGTTACGGAGAAAGAGGAGTTCTACAAGAAATAAAATATATTTTGTTCGGATACACATGAAGGAAAACACAAATTCGTGTATTAAAGGAATTGAATATGCGAATAATGAGTATACGTGTTTTCTGGTACGCAAATTTGAGTCCATCATTGGCGATTTCTGTCCCGAAAACTGTAAAGGAATTAATTATTGGTAATTTTGACACACGCTCTCCAGGGTTAGCTTCACCTGAAAACGAATTTAATTTTGAGGCACCACACTACTTGCCTTGTCCAACACTAGGATCAATGGCTTTATTATTATTATTATTATTATTATTATTATTATTATTATTATTATTATTGTTGTTATTATTATTGAGAAAAAACATGCTGACATTTATTTCGTGCACCTGAAATCACCCACTATACATAAAATTTATTTATCGAATTAGCTTTTGAATTTTTTGAAGTGTGAAAGAATCGAAATAAGGTGCTCAAGCTATCTTTAACCTCTGGAAAATCATCTAAATCTTGTAGGCATCAACCTTCTAGATAATAGTGAAGATACCTACCGATTACCCAGAATTACACCCTTGAAACTCCATTATAGATTTTCAAAATATTCACAATATATACAGCCACATATATTCCTCAACTTTGACTTCTAACCAAAGGTATTAAGTTGACTATTTTTGTTCTAGACGCAATGCTAGATACTTTCACTCACAATAATTTGTGATTGCCAACTGTCAATGTTTACATATTACTAGTTATTTTAGAAATATAATATAAATTGTAAATTTACATTGTTCAGAATATATCTAAAAAAATAGCTTACCGAGCAGATGCGGTCGGTGTCGGGGCATTTGCGAATCATGCTGGTGCGGTTCTCCATCATGTTGACGCAGGGGTCGTCTATGTCCATGGTCTCGCACTGGTAACACCACACGTCTTCCTTCTTGTCGGCCGCCTTGCTCGTCACGTACACGTGCTGCTTGCTGCCGCCCGACGAGTACTGCCCTGCTGCACGCGCCGCGCGGCCCGCCTCAGAACGTGCACGTGCCCATCCCTCGCTTCAACTTAATGAAGGAATGGGCAACAGGAGGGAAGACGAAGGTCGCTGTTTTCAATCATAGCTCTCCACATTTCATTTTTGCAGGATTTGTGGGAAATAAATCCCTTAGAGTCGGCCTTGATAATTGAGGCCGCTGAAGGGTCGTGGCTGCCGAGGCTTGGACGGTATCGGGTTCAAATCCCACCCCGGGCGTTATTGATTGACTGTTAGTAATTCCGGGCCCGTCAACTAAAAAAAGGAAGGGTCATTAGTTTCATAAGGGTAGTACATTGAGTTTTTCATCTGGAGGTGGCCGTGGTCTACACCCGCTGTATGTGGTCTACCCCCGACGGGACTCGAACCTAGGACCTCCCAGTCAGAGGGACTGCAGTGACATCAGTTGATATCCTGAGCCATCTCTCCCGGTCCAATCCCACCATGGACATTTGTATGTGTCCGCATGCGTGTTCCGCTAATGTTACCCTAAAGTTACAAAACTAATGATACATTAGAGTGGTTTCCAAAAGAGTTGAAAAGCGACCTTAAATATGTAAAAAAATTTCCTGTAGAATGATTGTCTATACTTTAGAATAGTGAATTCGCGAATAGTAATTTCAGTAAATTCGCTGCATTGTAACATGGAGAGATAAATAAATCCTGATGAGGAAGAATGTTTTTTGATTGTCTGAAATTTAACGAGTATACTTCCTGTGCCAATTAAGTTTTTACATTTTTCTAATATTTTCAAGTAATTTGTAGAGATTTTTAAAATTAAGGCGGTTTGGAGCGCCGTAAAGGAATTGTTAGTAACCCAAGTGATGGTGCCATGTCGAGAATTCAGCGCGTCATTATGTTTAATAATCAAGCTCAAAATGTAAGGGGTAAAATCAAAAGTTTCTATCACATTATCATTTTATTTTTATTAGACAATTCAAGTAGGCAATTGAGGGAGGTAAAAAAATTGATTTAACAATGAGCGTGACTGAAAATTATATTAACTAGCTGCAAAATATTGGTCAGGAGCAGATGCAAAAGTTTGCTTCTTTGACTACAAGATCCCAATGATGTTTTCTTTCTTGGATGATGCTTTTTCAATGTCTCTACTTGCTTGGATGCCATTATAATTGCGTAACGTATTTAGTGACAAGCGCTAACGTTACTAATGCGAAAATGATAAATTAGGAAGTGAAAATACCTCTTGATAAATTTATATAATCACTTTTACTTCCATTTGCATCATTTATAATTGTAGTTAAAAGATATCTCTGTGTAATACCGAGAGCAAATAATTATTAGATGCGTGCACTTCTTGAATTAACTACAGGAAGAACTAAAGGAATTTTATTTCAAACGTATTAAAAAATATTCATGTCATATTACTAAATATAAAATATTAATGAAAAGGTGCATTACTTGTGAACGTTTGCCTTTTCTTGAATACGCTGCGGCTGCTCCGAATGCTACTGACATTTTAAATGAATAGTACTTGTATACTGCCAAATATATTATGGCTCTGCGTAGAATTTGCCAAATTCTAACTTCAAGCGGGTTAGAACACGTCCAACACTATACGAATATATACCAAAACTATACGCAAATAAACTTTTTTAATTTTGGAGAGTCATCTGTTTCTTTATGGGCGTGCAACGGAGGTGTATCACCGCGAGAAAACTGAGAAATGGTGTGTGGCTACTTCGTCTTCCAGGGACGTAGGAAAGGCAAGGGTTTAGGTATTGCCAAATGTATATATCCATGTAGGCTTGTCTTGACTTTGGAGTTATAACTAATTACAACAGTTACATACTTTCAAATGTCTTTCCATGCTTGCATAACGGATGGTCGTCGTCGTAGGTCGACCTGAGATCTTGACCTCAACCTTTTGGTACCCGAAATCAAAAATCATATCAAACTAAATAAAACGTAAGAATAAACTCAGGCACACCATGCATGAGGCTCAGTGGATAAATGATTTGAACACACAATCATTTTTCTTACTTAATTATGTATCAGCAACTGTTAATTATCTACTATTCTTAAGATGGCTGTTTGTCTTGGCTATTTGGAGAGAAATTATTGACAGAACTCATTCTAAGCCTATGAAAAATGTTGAAGTGTAAATGTAAATGTTTGGATGTGAATAGTGGGAATAGTGAATGTTTTAGAGTAACTAGAACAGAGACACAGAATTGGTTAAGGTAAAATAACCCGTCAAAAATCAAGTGAATAAATAAAGTAATCTTGATCAACAATTGAGGCGTGTAGTGAGAGAGGGAGCTAACCCAAAAGGGTATGGAACTAAGATAAATTGAACTTTGTATTTGTATTGTTTTATATCATATTATTTGTACAATAAAGGGGATATATTGTCCTTATTATTTTTAAGATAATAAACTTGTTTATTTGGGAAAATATGATTCAGAAATTCTAGAAGTACTTTACAGGCAATATACAACCCTAAAAGTAAGATTATTTTAATAATCTATCGAGTGATTATTTTTGTGATTACTTCAACATTCTTTAAGTTTGATTGTATTATTTTATTGTAGTAACAACACTAAGATCTCCGTTTTGTATGTTGTAAAGTCCTTGACTTCAGAATATTAAAAAAAAGGTTTTCATAGTCCTTTAACGTGTGGCATTCACACCCAGGGCGTTGGTTTCGTTGCATCATGAATGCGTTCTTGCCCCTTTCTCCAAGCATTCTGACACACACGGATCCATTGTTTGTTTTGTTTTCGGGCGCGTCAACTACTATAGTCATTAGTCCCATAAGTGTAGTGATGTTACATTCCGGGTGATGTTTCCCCACTAGATCGTGAAATTTGGTGCCTCTATACAAGTCGGCTTTTCCCTTCCACGAATATCTGCCAGCGTTCGTAAACGTCCGAGCCAGGACAAGTTCCAAGCTGCTGACTTGCCTGCAGATATAAATAAGAGTGATTTAGGTGCGTATGTGCGAGTATGTGTGTGTGTGTAAGAGGAGAGGATGCGACAAGGCTGGGAAAGCAAACGTGCTGCTGTCCGCAGCCCTATTGTTGACACTGCTCCGGCATTCAGCTGGTATTGTTCGAAGGAACAACGGAAAAACACCGATCAGAGTAGCCGGCTGTTAGAATTATACTTCACTCGGAGGTTGAAAATGACCAAGCTAGCTAGTGTCGGAAATCCGTCGGGTGTCGAACCTTACAACTTTCCTGTCAGAGACACTGCAATGGGAATAGTTGTTGCCCTGAGTCATCTCATCTAGTCACACTTGTACCCTTATCCCAGTTATCCTTACCCAGCATCCCTTGTTTCCTAAGTAGTTTTCATTCTTCATTGACTTACTAATAAGTACTCTTGCAAAATAAGGGATACTGGAACCCCGTGAAATTGACACGTCGAATCAGCATTGAACTGCAAATGTCTAATTAAATACGGGAAGTAAAAAAAAACATCTGATGTTCTAGTGATAGTGTTGGTATTATCAACGACACATGAATGTAGCTTAACTCCCTCTTTCACGTAAATTGTAGAAAATTGGCGCGTCACCTATTTTAAATGATCCATTCAGTAGCAGATTGGAGATACAATTATGAAATTTATTGAATAAATAAAAGATGAAAAGAGGATATAAAATATGGGGAAAATTCGATTTTTTGATTTTGTGGGTTAGCTCCCTCTCTCACTGGATGCCCCAATTAGTTTATCAAATAGCTGCCTATTTTTTTCAATTCATTGGAAAATTTTCTATCAAAGATGCATCTTATAAAACGAGCTCTTGAGAGTCGAGAGGTGACTTTCGTTTATGAACCGATTTAATACATTTAAGTAAAATTACATCATCTTGGTGATTTTTCATTCACCAAATCACTGATTTAACACCATGTGAAATAAATCACTCAACTTCTCCTGGAGTTTTGGAGCCAATTCTCACTTTTACAAAATACACATTGGGGGATACGGATTACAAAATTGTGGTTTTGTTAGTAGATATGATTCAAGTAAACAAATTTAACGCACTTAAAATACTTATAAATTTTAATCGTAACAACCACTATCAATAGCTAGCAAATTTTAAGCAAAATTTAAAAAAAGCTGTAAGTAGAATTTTGTATGGAGATTGGATAATTCGGACAACGCAATCAAAAGAAATCAAACGTTACAATATTTAACATAAAAGAAAAATATTAGCAAAGCATTCATACGTATTATTGCAACAAAAATTGATCACAACGGAAGCGGAGAAAGGAAAAAAAAGTAATAAGTCATGCCAATTTTTCTGCGTGCGTGCATGTCCAGAAACACTGACATGTGAATGTACATGTGAATAAATAAAAGGGAAAGCATTTAACGAATTATTCCATAAATGTGCAAAGTTTACTAAGCTACTTATGACACTTTATTGTTTGAAAATTAACAGTTTGTCCAAAACTTAGAAGAAGAATTTATATAAGCCTTTTTAAATGTCTCCAAACATAATGATACCAGTTATACATTATTTTAAAGATGTTAACAAAATTAATTATATCACTTGTTTAAATTTATTCGGAGGAATGCCGGTTTGAATAACATAGGTTGTATTGATCAAGTTATAAAGAAGTGGAAGTCCGTATGAGGGATATTTCAACGTTCGTGATCATGTGGCAAACAAGCACGATCTCATATTATCATAGCATACTTTACGAGTATCCTGACAATACGTAAAGAAAGAATAATTCAATTATTGATTTCTCAAATTCATGCGATCATCAATAATACGTTTGTATGGTGCGCCAGACGTTTTTTTAAAAAGCAGATCTGTCTTACGAACTCAAACATTCTCAATTACGGCACATGTTTTTTGTCAACCGACTTATCCAATACATGCTTGTAAAGTTGCACATATTTGATCGTTTTATGAGCTCATGTATCTTTCAAACTCTTTGAATGAAAAGGAAATAGTCGAAATATACTGGTGCGTTCAACATCATGGAACCTAATTTATAAAACTTGTATAACTATTGAAGTATAAACAAGTCTGCGTTATTTATATTTACAGAAAGTCGTAATTAAAATCGCAAGACAACATGTGAACATTTTACACATTCATTGGACATTTTTCTATCAAAGGGGCATCTTATAAAACGAGTTCCTCTTTGATCGTATCTATAACTCACGAGCAACTAAGCCAAAATTGTATTCTCCAAAATGTGACTTGCATTATTGATAATCCTTTCATACGAAACTAGCAGTTATTAATAATTCATTTTTTTAATATTTGGGTTCATTAATGCATTTTATCGGGACTAATATTAAATTCATAAAATATATAACTACGATGAAGCTATAAAAATGTATGCTTAGAAACATGCCGTATATCTTACCATGTTTCCACCGGAGAGCGGAAACGAACTGAAAAATACTCACGAAAAAGTATTATGAGATTACACACAAAATAGAAGGCAAGTATGAAAATAAGGAGATTAATATTTTTACAAATGTGTTTTATATTATGTTTAATAAATAGAAACTGAGTACAAACTTTCTTATCGAACGATACAGCTAGGAACATAACTGAGCAACAGTTGGTCGTTAACTAGCACACGTTTCAAACTTTGAATCTCGCGCGCTGCGTAGTATTCTCGGACACGTTGGAAAAGAAATCGATATCCTGGTCCAGATCTCCAACGCTAGTCAAGTGCAACAGGAAGTGCTTCGGATACTGAATTCAAAGGTCGTATTCTACACACTGACCGACCACTAACGCTCGCGCAAAGCGTGTCGCTCACCTAAGACGGCGCTGCAGAAGGCGATCAGGAGGAGGACGCCCTCGGCGAGCTCCATGGCACACGGCCGCTCCACGCCGCACGCTTCCGGACTCGCAGCTAGTATTAAACGGCGACCGCCGTTCGCACTCGAAGCATTCCTAGTACCTCAGCCCGCCTGGGCTTTGGAGGCGTGGCGGGCGTTGACAGGGGCCTAGGCGACCCGAGGTGAGCGATGGTTTCGGCCCCGGGGGCAGCAGCGAGGCGGGCCGTCGCCTGGCGACGGGCGCACGGCGACATTATTGGCGCACTTCAGAGCGCAACGCGCCGACGCGGCACGCGCCGCCCCTCCCTCGCCAACGCTCCCCGCCGCCCCGCGCGCCACGCCTTCCCCTCTCAAAACCTCCCGCCCCGACCTCGCGCTCGCCGCTCCGCGCGCCCCGCCCCCTCGCCTCGCAACCCCTCCCGCCCCTCCCCTGCCCACCCCCGCTGCCCCGCGCCCCACCGTCCCTCCCTCCTTCAACCCCGCGCGACCCGCCCCCTCCCTCTCAACCCCTCCTGCTCCTCCCCGCCACACCCCCGCCGCCCCGCGCACCAGTGCCATTCCCTCGCACGCCCCCGCCGCCCCGCGCCTCCCCGCGCTCTCCCCTCTCAACCCCTCCCCACCCCTTCCGCCGCCTCGCCTGTCACCGCCCCGCGCGCAGCCCTCTCCCCTTCAACCTTCTCCCCGCCCCTTCCCCCCGGCCCCCCACGGGGGGGGGCCCCCGCCCGCCTCCCCGCGCGCCTTCCCCTTCCCCTCTCAACACCTTCCCAACCCCTCCCACCCCTCCCCCCGCCACCCGCGCGCCGGCTTATTTCGCCCACCTGGTCCTCTTCCTTCCCCGCACCCCTTTCCACGCACCGCGCCGCTCGTATCCTCCCACGCCCCCCGCCGCACCACGCTTCGCTTCCTTTCTGGGCCACTGAGTGATTTACATATATTAATATTAGTAGCGAGCCGTCCTGAAATAGCCTGAGTTGGCAAGACGTTGTAAGACTCAGCGTTTCGGTTCGAAGGGTTCGCGGGTTTCGAGACCCGCCTGTTTGTCCCTTTGTTCTGTCATGAATCTGTTGTCGTTGCAGGGCCTCGCTGTTCTGCTGACCACAGATCAGACGAGCCCACAGGTGTGTTGGTGTGTAGCGTAGGATCGAAGTCCCATCGGGACGTAAAGAGTAACAGGATATCGGTTGGGTGAACGCTTTAGGGGAAAATGTTAGTATAACATCATACTAGTTTTCTGTGCTCTTTACTGCGTCCGCTCTTCCGTCCCACCCCACCCGCGTCACCTACGCTTGCTCGCCCACCCGCCCGGCCTCTTCCCCCTGAGTCAACACCGTCACCCATTTGCCAAACTACTTGCAGCTCGTATCTCTTCCGCCGTTCCTCGCCACCCACTCCACCTGCTTTGCTCGCCCGCCCCTCGCAGACTGCCTCTCCCTTCCGCCCGCTCTGCCCCTGCGGCGACCACGTCTCTCTTTCCTGTGACACCCGCGATGCCCCCCTCCCCCCCGACGCCGACCGGCGCTGCCATTATCGCCTTCTGTTTGTTGTGGCCCAGCCGCACCCAGCCGTGGCAAGATCTAAGCCCTCGACGGGTCTAACATGTGTGGTAGTGTAGTACATGCACATGTAAGTCTGTGTAAGAGGTAGGATAGGACAAGGAAAGTGAAAGATCGGAGAACGTGAAAGAACAAGGAAAGATCGCGCGCGGTCCGTGGCCCATTTATTAGGGTGCAGCTCCGACATTCGCCTGATATTGATCGGAGAAACCACTGAAAATTACCGATCAGAGCAGTCGGCCGCTAGAATTCTCCTCCAGACAATAGCTGGATTCGTCCTCCCTATCTAGCTGGTGTCGAATATCCCCCAACCACCGGGAGTATATCCTTAAATCCCCGCGGTCATAGCCGCAGTCACATCAGTTGTTCATGCCGTGAGCTACCTAATCCGGTGGAGAGGGGGTCGCACTCCCACTTAACCCTCCGTTATTGGGTTGGACTCCCGATGCTTGCGCGATTTTTGACACTTGCTAGATAGCCAGGGCTGATAGAGCCACTGTCTGGAGGAGAATTCTGGCGGCCGGCTGCTCTGATCGGTAGTTTTCCATGGTTTCTCCGATCAATACCAGACGAATGTCGGAGCTGAACCGTAACAAACGGGTCACGGACCGCGCGAGATCTTTCCTTCCCCTTCCTTGCCTTGTCCTCATCCCTTACTTACACACATTTACACTTACATGCACTACACTACTACACATGCCGGGAGACCAATCGGTGGCTTAGAGCTTACTCCGGCTCGGGCGGTGTCCCGCTAGAGGGAGATATCTGATTGGGGAAAACTTCTCCAGCCGATAGGTAGGTCGGCGCTGGATCTCGCGATCCAGCGGGGGAAGATCACTGATACTACCCGAGGTAAACATGAACGACACTTACGGGAACAATGACCTTAGCCGTTAACGCGCCTAGAAACACGAAATAATTAATCAATCATTCAATGAATCTAATCACCCTGTCCATCGGGCGTCAGACCCGCGGTGCACACTCTCACGGGTCACTCTGGGTCACCGGTAAGCAGCACATACCCGCGCCTCCTAGCACATCGTAGTTCGCGCTCTGTCGCGTGTCTCGCTACCCGCACCTTGCCACATCGTCATGCTTTTCGACGTGCCAGGGCACCTTGCGCCATCCTATCGCTCGCCCCTCGCCACTCCACATCTCTCCCACCCCCCGCCACGCACAGCTCCACCCCTCCCCGAGTTTCCTGACGCGGCCTTTCCCCGTACTCTGCTACCCACTTTTTTTTAACAATTGCCCCAGCAAAAGGATGGGACACGTGTTACATGTGCTGTATACTTTTCAATACTTTCAATACTTAGATGGTGATTTAAAATGCAGGTACTTGGGTAAAATTTGTGTAGCTAACAAAAATCGCAAATTTGATACGGGTAATTTGATATGCTTCTCAACATTTCCAACACTCCCATTTTAAACCTCTAAAATTCACGAAAACATCCTTGGTCTCGCCAACATACTAAAGCATTTCCTTGAAAATACAGTCACAGCATATCTTTGTTTACTTCCCTCGCGAAACTACTTGCCATATTGTATTTCTATTTAATGAAATACGCTCATGCGTTCTGTGATCTATTTATCCATAAGGTTTAGCTGTTTGTCGAGAAAATATCTCGCACCTTTGTGGCCTCCCATTTCACGCCGCGCCTTGCATTACTCCGAAACATGTCACTTCGTGCCACCCGTTGTCCTCCAGCGCGAATCGTCACGCCTCGCCCGTCGCCCTCATCTGCGGTCGTTGAATTTCCGCCCTGGTTTGTCTCCACACCGCTTATAAGGCATCTAATTTATTTCCACTACGCACTGAGGCGCCCAGCGGTGCTCCACCATCTGCTGCCTGTTCACATCTTGCTGCTTCGTCTTTTCTCACCCTCGCTCCCGCTTCCCCCTCGCCAACGCCTCGAGACACGTAGCGCCGCTCCGTCTCTCCCCACTTTCGTCGCTACAGTTCCTGCGCCGTGTTTTCTCCCTCCCTCAGAGATGTCTAATATATCTTTTCCACAACAGTTGCGTTGCATCTCACCACCTGATGCTCGTTCTTCGTCTCTTTCATCGGGGAAAGGAATCATCGTACTCCTTCCAAGGCACTTTCCAACCACTTCCTAGCAACAGACCTAGCACTGCGTGTGATCCTCCTACCTTTCTGACGTCCGCTCGCCTCTCCCCTGAATTTCGACAACCATTCCACAACTGTCTTAGAACCCCTGGAGTCACATCTATCCCGAATTCTGGCTATCCCATAGCTCCATATTGTTTCCCCCCGGACTACCGGACACTACCGGACTTGCTGCTGCCACCTGGAACGCCTGGTCACTGCTATCGACGCACACTCAACAAACGACGAGCTATCCCTCTGCGGTGCTTTTATAGTGGCAAGCCTATACACTTTTGGGAAGCGACACAGAAGCGTTCAGTTCTTTCGCCGTATCACTTTCGTCATCATTCCTAATAGACACCATCTCACTGTCTTCTAAGGCAGTTTGCTTTCAGTACTTACCATCTGTTTCACGATATTGTGCTGCAACATATTCCTAAAACCCAGTTATTGCTCTTACAAATGAAACCATTTATGTTTCGCCAGGATTTTATGAGTTGTCTAGACTTCTGAGATTCTCATCTTCCATGATTAAGTTACAGAATGTGTCACTTTCGATACCAAACAAGTATAATGCGGACGGAATATTGAGAAAGAATGAACGAAGTCAGTGCTAACTAACGGCCTCATTAATCAAGTGGTATGTGTCAACCTGACTACCCGGCCGGTGTCGATAATTCACCACCTCTGGAGCTACTGGTATACGAAGTGTTCAGTTGCGGACTCACAACGTCATACGCCCACGCATCAGATAAGCTAAGGATGTCAAGTATATGAGGCCGATAGAACCAGAGTGAGCCATCCCCACCATAAGTTCAACTTCAGATAATGTCATCGCGAACAGTAACATCTGCTGATTGGCTGGTCTTTCACATGGCTCGCGCGTGTTTGGTGCTGCCTTCTGATAGCGACTGATAGAACTACATTTGGGCCATTCTGCATTTCCAGAGGAAAGCTGGTCATGCATAATGTTCGATATGTAGAAATTGCAAGAAAGCAATGCAACCTATTACCATGAGAGATGTCTACGGTTTCACCTGACACCCAAGATCTCGGAAAATGTATAAAAGGAATGAAACGGTTTCGAGTTTGAATGAAAATACAAATTTGTGATTGTGTTATTTGGCACTTTCTTATTCTATGTGTTGCGGCAATTTTTTTTGATTTTCAGTTTGACACTACTTACGAACAGCTGATGTCATGCGACAACAAGGCTTCGAGGAAGAGGTAGTTCACTATTAAAGATTTACAATTTACATGTTGCATTATTAAATAGCAACTTATTTATTTCTTTGTTATGTAAAGGACTGGTGTACGATATCTTCTATTAACTGCAGTATTCTTGGAGACTGTTTTTATTGAAATCTTTAATTTATTAAAGTGCTATAAGAAAATATATTATTTGTTATTCTGAGATTTGATACTTGAATTTGAGAGATTTCTTATTCTGCTTGTGGGCTTCTTTTAGGAAAACACTTGTGTTTGATTTTGGTCATCAGTAATTTTGCTGCTGCAGGTTATCTCATAAAAGTGAGGGTTGCCTTACTGTGATTCGATCCATCTTATATATTGTTTGTTATTATTACCAAAACAATGCCCA